GAATCGGGACATTAAAACACACCCCCATCTTGCTCTGCCAATGTTTCTAAGTGCAGCCCAAACCCAAGGCAGCAGATGGCCAAAGGAAAGGAAAAGGACATGTGTACGACCCAAAACAACACAGGGAAGTCCTGGTTTGGGCATAATAGGATTGGACCTCTTCAAAAAGCAGAGCTGCAGTAAATTTGGGTTTAAAACATGAAGGCAGTAGAGGGAGATGGCCAGCATGTCCCAGGGATCCTTCAAAGTTGAAACTAATTCAAACGCTATCTCTGGGGGCAGGGATGCCAAGGAATTGGCTTTGTCACTCACTTCCCTCCAAGTAGAGTGTTTTTTCCATCATACTTCTGACTCTCAGAGCACCCCAACCACAGGGAGCTGCAGCAGACTGCACTGCTGCTTCCTGAGCAGCTCCAACTGGGACAACCCGGATACGTCTGCTGAAGAGAACATTAACCTGCTCCCAGGATAGCTGAGAGAGAACAAGGTAACCCAAGTCCCTGCACTCCTGCCCCATCACCTAAGAGCCTCTGCAGGGCCAAGGTGCTCAAGCACAGCACTGGGCACGTACCCTAAACTGTGTGCCACACATAGCAGTGACTGTGGGTTATACTTCTGCTGTGCTGGTAACTCCAATCCTCTGCTAAAAGAATACTTTAAAAGACAGTTACTAGATGAAGGACTTCATAACGTATGTTATAACACATAACATGTTATACATCATTATAACAAATACACTCCCAGGCTTGAAACAGCATCACAGTTCAGACTTAAGAGGTCTATATTAAGAACACCCTACTTTTCCCTATGCATAAATCCAGAATCCTATTTAAGTGGTCACTGGCAGCTATAGATGAAACAAGGCTAGGAAGAAGAGGTTTCCAAAAATGGGTGACTAGCATAAAGACAGTATTTAGACACAAAGTCAGCTTAAGGGTAGAGAACTATTGCCCCCAAAAAGATCTCAAATATTGACCTTATATCCCCTCCTCTCCCCAGGAGATTTATTTCAGCACAAGAACATTCCTTTAACATGAAATAAAACCTGATACCAGATTTCATGCAATTCCATATAATCTACACATTTTCCAAAAGAAACACAAACTTTTATGTATTTTGTCATGGCACATTTAATAGCTCCTAATGTAAATATATATATTGCCCTTGGTTTAAAGCTGGAAGACAGCCAATTGTCACCAGTACGTTGATGAGATGGAGGTTGGGAGGAGCTTTATTTTTCTTCAGCTTTACAATCTCTCTCTTGGGTTCAATTCACAGATTATGAGACCAGATAGCAAAACCATAGTGATACTTTTACAAATGTTTGCATTGATAGTAAGTAATAAAGCACTCCCTAGAATTACACAAGCTTTACAGCACAGAGCTCCTCAGGGCCAACAAAGTTATCAAGGCAAAGCTTTGGGGGAAAGGATTTTATTAAAACCTCTCAGACTTCACCATTTCACTTTCCATGGGTTCTAAAGGATTGTTAGAGATGAGATGAACATATCTGCGAGGAGACAGGGAGAAACATCCTTATTTACCAGTGTTTCCTGCCTGCAGCAGTGAGGGATGACGGTACATCAGTCAAGAGATCCTTTCCCATCTTGAATTCCAGATAGACTATCAATACTGCTTTTATTTTCTCATAAAGGATAAATTTGGGACACAAAGACCAGCAACTCTACAAGAAAAACCTTTCTGGCTCAATATCAAATACAAAACCCCATTCCTACGTGCACTGTCAGACACCAGCCTACACATGTGCTGAAGAAGCTGGAGAAGAGCAGTAGTTTGATGTTCACAGCAGATGCTATATAGTGAGCTAATGCAACACCCTAAAGAAATGGAACAAAAAAGGGTCCACTGATGCATCTAATATTGCACTTTCAGTAACTGACAGAAGAGGGAAGGGATCCCTCACACACAATCCAGATGTGTTATCCACTGGAAGTTATTTGTTCCCCTAGTGATCTGTCCTGGAGAAACAATTAAGCTCTTCCAACCAGCTCAGGCTTCTTTTCCTCAGCAGGAAACTATCAAAAATGAGGAGATTTTATAGCCAAACACAATCTTTTCGAGTAAGGGGAATGCATTCCTAAAACCTACAATCCCCACCCAAATGCATCCAGCAAGGAACAAAAGTAAAACATGCTAATACCAAACCACTGAGAGATGAAACATTTCATTTAGCTCTGGTGGTGAAAAGGCTGTTGTTTCATTCTTCCAAACTTCATTTATATTTGAATGTTCCTAAGACATGCTCAATATTTAGCAAAGAGGGTGGATGTACATTTTTAATAGGCAAATCTCATGCTATAGGTTGCAAATCTAAATGCCTCTGATCTCCTCTTCAAAGGCTCAGAGGAATGAAAGAGAATTCTGCCAGAATATACAGTGCAGCAACCGCATCTTAGTACTGTTATAAGGAGAGGATTTCCCAGGAGCTCAGCATAACTTAATGCCTTTTACATATTACACCCAATCCATATTTTCAGAACAAAAGAAGGCTATCGTTCTAGAATAAAACAAAACAGGATGGATACAATCTTTTCCACTTTAAATAATGAAAAGCATCTTTTCCATTAAACTTAGAAGGCACAGGAATAACAAGAATTTATGCAAGAGATTCAAGGTCTGGATTTTGATGAAACTCCTCTCCTTGTTTCCTCGGATGAAGGACAAAGTTTGCCATTATCAGAAGCACTTAGCACAGCTGTTCTGTAAGGTGCCGGGTTGCTTTGCTTTACTCAATTAAACCATAGAAGAAACATTAAGACTTCAAAAGATACAGATCATAAAAACTAACAACCATCTGCATTTTTGCTGATAGAGAATTCAGTCTAGGGGAGTCTACAACAAGGGAAGAACCTAAAGGGAAAAACAACCCTGAGATTTCTAAAGCTTCTTAGGTACATGCTTATGGGGGAGGAGGAAGATAGATTAAGAAATCATTACCTCAAAAGCAATCCTGCAAAGAGAGATACACATCAAAGTCATCCACAGGCAAATGAGAGTATCCAGTAAATCAACACCCTGTGCTGAAAGAATAACCATACTTGCTGCTTGACATCTCGTCCCCCATCACCATTCTTACAGTATCCAAGGAACACCAGCTCAGGAACACACCCTGCATTGCTCAATCCCTGCTGTGAGGAACAGTTTGAAGCCTCTGGTAGCATTTAACATGACGAACAATAGTTACATGCACTAATTACAGTTAAGACCTGGTGAAGAAATAACCCTGTGGAACAAACCAAAGGTGAGCTCAGCAAACCTTAGTGACTATTACTGCAGTCCATCAGCTTAAGGTAAAACATTATTTCAAGCTGTCTCCTAAGTTAAGAATTTTTTTTGTTGTCTGTAGATCTACAGACCTCAAAAACCAAAAATGTTATTGCTGCCGAAAGAATATACATGTTCTCCTTTAAAAACCCACACTGATTCAATGGTCAAGTGTGGTTATTACAGGTGAACTATGATGTTTGTTAATCCACTGCTCATTAAAAAGAAGATTCTCATACCTGGAAACCTTGATGCACTTTTTTGGAACTCTGCATCCCAAAAATATCTCCTTTTGACACAATTTTTCCTGCTCTTCTCCATACCTTTACATGAACAGAGATTTTTTTCATCTCTGGATTCATATGTCCTGCTACGTCCTACTGCCTTCCACAGAAACCTGCGCTGGGGGTACTGACACCATCCAGGGATTTATAATTTGAGAAGCTCTTTGGGACACAGGACATGACAAACCACAGATCCTTCCAACTGGTGCTCAATCGATTCACCACACTGGCTCAGTTACAGTCCTCCACACACTATAAGCATTCATTTAAAGACAAGATTTTTTCCTTCAGAATGAGACCACAACCACTGACATTCCAGCCAAAGCAGCTTTCATCAGATCATTACTTATATTAAGAAGGATTTAGTGCCAAATCAGGCTTCTTCCTAACATGACGGGGAGTTCCCTCAAGCAGTGCTATAAAGAATCCATTCTTCCCACATCACTGTATGAAGTTTTTAAGAATGAAATGCAGTGTGTAGTACTGATACTTGCATACCAAATGCTGATAGTGTAAATATTTAAACATAAGACATATTCAAAGCATTATTACTCTAAGAACTGCTGGGCAAGCAATAAAGGAAATTAAATACCAATACTCTTCCCAAAGTAAAATAGCAGCGACAGACAGAAAGTAGCAAAATGATGCAGGAAATATTCTGTATTTCTTGTTTTTTCTTGAATTATACCTAACAAAAAGAAGTCAACAGAACAATTTTTCAAGCACTTTGAAAACCAGAAACAACCAAACCAAAATCAATTCACAATCTCCCTACTGAGATTGGGGGTTTATCACATCAAACACTGGAACACGTTCACAAAAGCAGCTTGACAATGCTACCTTTGGGGAACTGACAGTAAACAACTGCTTTTTAAACTGATGTACATCAATACACACATCCTCTCCAAAACAAATATTTAATCAGTCATTTGAAGAGACATTAGTGCCACTGAGCAGACCTACAAAGACTGAGCCAGTGCAAAAAGCTCCCTGCAGTAAGCATAAGTAATCCTCCTAGCAGGCACCATTTACTCTCATGTCTAACAAGCAAATCAGAATCCTAGAATCAACCAGGTTGGAAAAGACCTTTAGGATCATCAAGTCCAACTGTTACCCCAGCACTGCCAAGGCCACCACTAACCCATAGCACTGAGGACCTCATCTACACTATGTGAGAACACTTGCAGGGATGGTGACTCCAGCAGTGCCTTGGGCAGGCTGTTCCAATGCCTGAGCACCCTCTGGGGAAGGAATTGTTCCTAATATCCAGTCTAAACCTCCTGTGGTGCAGCTTTAGGCTGTTTCCTCTTGTCCTATCACTTGTTACATGGGAGAAGAGACCAGCCACCACCAAGGCAGTCGTACAGAGTACAAAATGTCTCAAAAGAAAAGGAAGAAAACCCTCTTTTGTGTGTGTGTATTTGTACTTACAGCCATGGTAAGATGCTGGGGATCCTCCAGACTTCCCGTATTCTTGCTCTGAGTAGCTGGTGGATAGGTTTGGCTGACTGGAGCCACGGCCAAAGGTGATCTGATTGCTACCCACTCCAGTGGCCACCTGAGCCATGCGTTCTTTGGTCTTCAGGGCTTGGGCCCTCTCTGTCTTGAGTCGCTCATCATCCTTCAGAAGAGACACCAGCTGCTTGGATTTCTCCCTCACATTGATGCCCTGGTCTTTACCATCTCGATCAATATACTGAAAATCTTTCAATGTCTGGATAGCAAAAATATTCTCTTTACACTGCTGTGCCACTCGCTCCGAACCAGTTTTGATCAGGTAATCTAACAGAGTCAGGGCCTTGTACACGTGTCGCCAGTTCTTGCCATGGTCATTCAGTCGTTTCCAGATCATGCTCATAATCTCAGAAAAGGCCACCACATTGTAAGTCAGATCTGCTATTTCAGTCATGAGTGAACTGGAAGGACCCCACGGGTCATTGGAAGTTGCTTCCCGAACTTTTATTTCGGCCTCTGAATAATTGTTCACGATGTTCTTCATCTGCCGCCTAATAGACGAAGTCGTCATCTTTATTTCCCTTTTTTAAGAAGACAGATCCCAGAACACAAACAAAACAAAAAAAAAAAAGGGCTATATCTGCTCTTCTATCAATGTTTCTGCACTGAGAAGGCTCCGGATCAGTGGCTTATTTGTAACACGTTCCACTACAATCATTTCCTCTCTTCAAGAGAATGACACGAGAAAATGAAAATCATGACCTGAGTAAGGAAAGAAAACAAAGCACGTTAGTTGCGTCTTTAATTGTTCCTACGTGGAAAGCAACCTACAGAACTCTAAGAAAACTACTCAGAAGCGTAACTTATGAATTTTTCTCCCTTAATTTCTTCTAGACATTTGATTTTGGAAGCTACTTGCTCTTCTCACCACTAATATTAAACACTTTAGATTAAAAACCTGAACTGCCAAACAAAACCAAAGCAAGAGGGTGTCCAGGCTTATGCAAATGCAAAATTCTACAAGCAAAACAGAAATAAAGCCCAAGAAATCACTTAGGGATTCAGTTTCCAACATGGTAAAACCTACCTAAGATTTTTAATTACAGAAATTACCATGCTGGCTTGTAAAGAGGCAAAACTACATTAGAAATTCCAAGCTTAGCAGCCATTAGCTTCCCTCTAGGAGTTGACAACTGCAGCCTGCCACCACTGCTGCAGGAATCTGAGTACCGAGAGAATCAGCAAAGTGCCCCAAAACTAACCAAGCTATTTCTGAAACCTCAGGTTAGCTTAAAGCACACTCAGTATCAGCGCAGAGATCTTGAAGAAGGCTCTGCTTTCAGTTGAGAAGTAGGGAAGAGAAGTGAGCACCAGAATGACACCCTCCAACTGAAGGCGACCTTTGAAGTTAAGCAGATTAGAGAAGTTATTTTTCCAAATGCATTTACTTTGTATGTTTGACAACACTCAGCACATCCTCAGCTTCTGCTCTGTGTGACTTTCACACAGCACAGAAGAAGTTTTAATTATATGAAAATGGCATTGTAAAGCCAAAATGACTGGCAAGAACCCCCAAGGGCAAGCTGCAGAGCTGGAAAGCTGTTTCAGTTAGTTATTTAAGGTCACTGTTTCAAGTAAACAGAGGCCTATTAAGCTTCAGAATACATTACTGGAGTAAACTGGCAGATTTTGCTCTTACATTAACACAGAACAGTCTTTGATATTTGCCAGTTGCATGAACACTAAGCACTGATCCTGTAAGAGAACTTGCCATGTTTAATAGTGATTGCACAGGCAAGATGTCCTCTAACAGTGTTTCTCCAAACACTGAAGAAGCAACAGTATCACTTACAAAAGGCACTGGAGAGAAGTAAAGCACAGATTTCCAGCCTAACATTGTTATCATTCTTCAAATTGCTCTGGTGCCATTTAGAATGAAAGCAGAATTAAGTGTCAGCTTGGACAACATGCAGCTCTGTGATGACTTTCTTACCATAAAGGCATATACCAACACTGATGTACGGATGATATGGATCCCAGATCAGAAGAATGTAACCCCCCCCCCATAAGGATCGAGCATGTCAGCCGACCAGAAAAGCACTTAAATAACATGAAATCAAAGCCTCCTAGACCACTCTGATAAAAAGTCCACCAAGCCAAACATCCTTAGGCACAAATCCTCATGTAATGACTATACGAACATATATATTCCCTTGCCTGATGTCTTGTGCATCTTAGATGCAACCTGTAACAGAGGCTTTATAGCCAGCAATGGGCACACTGTGGCTCTTCCAGCCCCTTTTTTGAAGCCACTTGTGTTTCCCATTTCACCCTCAGCAAGTTCACAAGTATTTCAGCTTATTTTAACCTTGGATATTAATTCCCCCAAGCTGTAGGCAGAGGGGATGCTTTTCAAGAAAGAACAAATCACCTTCAGCTTATGTCACTCACGATTTTATGGAAAGTGGACAACTCCTGAACTGAGGATCTGCCAGAATTCAATCCCTCTATTTAGAAGCTGCTCCCTATCTCCAATCATCCCTGATGTCTTTCCATGCATGTATTACACTTCCATTTCTTGAGATATACACAGTTCCAAGCACTCTGCACTTCAGAGCTGGCAGTAACAAGCTTATATCACAACATAGTCATTTACTGCTCAGGATTCCCCATTCTTTATCAAATACTTTCTAAAGTCTACATGTCTTTTGGTAGTCGTGCCTCTACTCATGCACAAGAAACCAAGGTCATTTCCTCTCCCTACGCAAATGTGATGAGGCCATTTCATCTGCCATTTTACCACTCAGCAGATCTTCCATCCTTCAATTCAAAATTTATTTCAAATTTGACTAATTTGGTTCAATTTGGCCACCTCATTATTCAGAAATCATCTGGAAAAGGGAACATTTGCATGCGCACTCATACTCAGCAGGACACTTCACTGGGAATAACCTTTCACTGTGAGAACCAACCATTTACTCCTAACCCTGTTCCCTGTCTTCTAACCCACTGTAAATCTCTGGAAAACATTCTTATGAGCTTTGTTTCTTTAGAGGCCAGGGATTAGAGGCTTCTAAGAGACCAAAATACACAAGCAAATACCTCATCTATGTGTCCCGCCCCGACCAAAGACTAGAGAAATTTGGCTTATTACTTGTTACAACTTTACAAGCTTTTGAAAGATCGTTTCAAAACCACACACCCTGTTTGGAAAGGTAAATTTTATAGTACATGACAACACCCACTAGTCTTAAACACCACCAACTTGGCCTGTGAAATAAATACCTGAGGAATGAATCATAATCACAACATAAACAGGGACACAGACAATCAGGGTGCAATGTCACATGCCATGCCAAGCTAATTGTAAGCCAGCACCAAACCCAGTGGCCTCAGAACCCTGCAATCGCCTCCCCTTTCTCTCTCTTGCATTGAATCTTACACAACAGCACAGGAAAAGTGATCAACTTAAAGTCTGGTAGAAAATGAGCTTTTGAGCAGTGGTTTGTTTTCTGTCACATCAGAGAGGTGAGCAGGCTGCAGAGCAACGCGGTCACCAGCATTGCTGCAAGGCAGGCTGTGAGAAGAGTAAAAGTGATCCAACCCTGGTCTTGCTTTTGAAGGAGCTGGTTCAACATAAAGCTGTCAAGATCCAAAAAACAGCACCAGAAAGTAAAAAGCCTTTATCCCTGCCCAACTACACACACGAGGAACTCATACATGTGGTTTCAAAGAAGAAACCAATCATCCAAAGGCAGGAGCCAAGGCCCTGCTGTGCTCTCCACACAGCCTGTAGCTAAATGAAGGAAAAACATTCATGGGCTTGCTGTAAAATGTAGGCAAGAAGCAAAAGAAAAGTTACAGCCTCAGTGAGCACAGAAATGGTTTGAACAGAACCCTCTGCTTTGGCTTGCATTTAGGATTCCTTAGTTGAATTACCAACAAAGCTCCAGCCCAAAAGCAAGTGAGCTTCGAGCACATACGTGTGCAGGGAGCCAAATTCATGGCAGCACCATTCCCCAAACTGGATGCTTTGCTAGAGCAAAGCTTCTGAAGAAGGCTACTTAGCAGAGAGTAAGTCTGGAGTAGAGCTTTGTGAAAGTAACTGTAGAGCAAACATTTCAAGAGGGGAGAAAACACATTAAGTGAAATTAACGTTTTTCACTCTTCCAGAAAATTAAAGTTTTCACTTGTTACTGTGTAACAGGCTTGAAAACCATCAGTCCATTGATGCTGATGTGGTTCTTCACCTTCCCATCTTTGATTCATGGAAACAAAGGCATTTAATGAGAATCCCATTAACATCTATTCTTTCCTTTTCTTGAAAGACAGATTTTCTAATCCTATTCTACTTTTAACCCACTGGAGACAACCTGTTCTAAACTTCATGTTACTCCATTAAACGTGGAGTGGAAAGATGGACTTCTACCCCCATCTCACTGTACCGATATTCAAGACAACTGTTCTAGCAGTAGCAGTAACCCTCACTAAGAACCCTGTATGTCTTTCAGTCTCTCCTTTACAAACCCTCTGCTTCCACACCACACCAAAGATACACTTTACTTGATTAATACAGGTCCTGGAGCACTGTAACAGCCAATCTTATGATTAAAGAGATCTGAAAGCCAAATAGCCTCACTGCATGAAAATGAGAAACCATTTCTAATGCATGACCAAATACTTACCTAGAAAGTCTTTCCCCCCCCCCACCCCCAAAGACCTCAGTGAATTAAGTTCTCCCAACAAACCACAAGGAAGTACAATGCACTTGCAACATCAGCAAAAGTGTGAGTTTGCATTTTTAACAATACAGTTGCAAAGAAAGCAGAAAGCAAGACTGGTTGATGAAAGCTGCTGTTCCTTGCTCACAACAGGAAAAAGGCTATCAGCTTAAAGAGAGCTCTTTAAAAGGTTCGGCAGAGAGGGGAAGAGGGAGTTAGTCGTCTTCAACTTGGGTGAGCCTTCCTTGTTTTCTCTTCCTTCGTCCCTACAAGCCATTTTCTCTGTTTTATGACTATCCTGTCATCTTTAAATAGATAGAAAAGGACACAAGACAAGAAGCGAAGCTCACCTGTGCTATCACAGGTAACCTGAAAGGGAATGCCCCATTTCCTTTCTCCTATTCCAATAGGTTCATCACACAACTATCCCCCATGAATTCTCATGGTGCTTTTCTATATACAACATAGAGACAGAAGGAAATCTTGAGTGAACCTCTCAACAGCTCTCTCTCACAAGAGCTTGAATTCAGTAAATAAAATCTACATGAGGAAACCATCTTTAACTTACTAAGACTAACAAAGAAATGAAGCCAAGCCACAAAGTCCTTCACAAACTTAATTCAAAGAAAGAACCATACAAATAAATCCGCCTATAGACAGCAGAAGCCGTTCAGCTCTCTGGACTGTAATACTCAAACTAGTGTTTGTCTGCACTGATAAAACACCCTTCGGATCAAGCCTAAAGGTGAATACAGACACAGTCCAGCTAAGTTTGGACCAGAAATACATTAAATACATATCAAACGGGCAATAAAAAGTGTGAAAATTAGCATTAAACATAAGAAGTTCACTAGAAATTTGTATAAAATTTTAATTAATAGTATTATAGACAACATGTGTGTTAGACATTTACTGTGACATGCATAAAA